CCGCAAGGTACGCCGATGAAAGTTCTGCATTTATAGCGTAAATTAAGGTCTCATCTGCTGTAGATTTTGACATCTCACTATCAAGCTTTCGTCTCGCATCCTCTACTGCCTTCTGGCTGTTCCGATGATTTTCTTTGTTCCAACAAGAGATNGCGCGGCGGACACTCTGAAACCTCTGCTCCACTGTAGCCGAGCTGTTCGATTTACATTCTTGTGCTATGAGTCTCTTGACTTCGACATTAGTGCGGAGCTTTCTATCATACATGAATAAGCCTTTCCGTTTCATAGAAGATGTGTTGAAAGAGGAGACGATAGGCCTGTGATCCGAGCCTCAAAACGAAGGTAACAGCTTCTACCTGTTGGGAACATCTCTGCCCATTGGATGTTCGATAAGGCTCTGTCTAAATGGCAGTGCACCAGGTGATTATGACGCCATCCTCTCCAAGACAGGAAGTTTCCGGAGTAACGAAGGTCATACAAATCACATTCTGACATGAAAGTACATAAATCGCAGAAAGAACCTTCTGATCTGGCTTTGCCTCCCATTTTCTCTGTGCTATTTAAGATTTCGTTGAAATCACCCATGAGATACCAAGCCTCGGTTCTATTCTCAGCTAGAAGCGTTAAATCCTCCCAAACTTTTTTCTTTTTTGTATAATCGGGTTCACCGTATACGAAAGTAACGAAAAACCACCACTACAAGAAAATATATCAATTTTTGACCAATTTTTTTGTGGTCAAAACTATTTTGACCATTTTCGACCAATTTTAGACAAATATTTATTTTCGTTATAAATTGGTCAAAAAAATATGATGAAATATAAAAGTAAAAAATTGGTTGAAAAATTTCGACCAATTTTTAACGGATTTGTAAATTTGTCAAAAAATGTCGAAAACTTGCGACAAAGAAGATTGATTGAAAATTGGTCAAGAAAACAAGTTAATTTTTTACCAAATTTTTTACCAATAACTTGGTCAAAATGTTTGTTGACAAATTTTCGACCAAAAAATTATGAAAATTTAAACTCGTCAAAATATGATCAAACTTTTTTTTTACTAATACAAGTGGTCAGTAAATAGTCAAAATATTCTTACCATTTATCGACTAAAACAAAATTTGGTCGAAACTTTGTGAGTAATTTTTGACGAATAAATACTTGACAGAAATTGGTCACAACATTATTGACCAAATATTGAGGAGAACACTTTTATTGTATTTGTCCCACATCGCCAATATGGGAGGGATGAAATTTTGACTTTCTCTATAAAATAACACTTACTCCATT